TATGTCATCATTTTCACGGTACTATGAAATTGTTTTAAAAGATTATGTAACTTAACAGAAGATACATGTAATGATTAAATCAATTTAAAAAGTAATATAATAAATATTGCAGTGTTTTGGGAGATGCTACATTCTTTTTGAAATAGGCGTTTAACTCTGCCATCACTGTATAAATTTCAAATTACATGTTACGTAGCCAAAAAACATTACTTCTTTCCATAGAAAAAACATAGTATCAAGTGCAATGCCTTGAATTTACTAGAAACTGAGAGTGCTGGAGAGAATTTAGTTTAAAATTAAAAATCTTATATAATTATACAAATTTACAAAATAATTACGAGTAATTGTACATCTGAACTATCGAGAGTGCTTTTCGAAAGCGATTAATGAAAACATAACTTAAAATGCCTGTTATACTATTGAAGAGTTTGTCAAGTTGATTGAGGATGATGATAAACATTTCAATAGCAAACTATCATCCGTTAATTTTTTAACCTTAATTTTGTTTATATAATTATATTACATTAATAATAATAAAATAATGAATGTTTGATCAAAGAATTTTCCGTCGATTCTTTTGTGGGTATTTTTTAGTTTCATTTGTAGCCCGTGGGTGTTTTTGACTAACATTAACCCTTAATTTAATCCAAACTTTGAATTTGAAAAAATGTTATTCTGTAGGTGGGAGTCTGTACGAATTTTTAAGATTTTTAGAAATCATGGTGATTTTCCAATATAAACTTTTATTTTTCATAAAGGAAAATCAACAGATTCTGATGAACATAATTCTAGCCTATCTGACAATACTTTCATTTAAACGGAAAATTGTAGCTCTAAGAACTATAAGTGGAATTTTTGCAATGATTTTTATTAAGGTTTGAAGTAATATCGAGTTATTTTTTCTTGTAAACGTTCATCGAAAATTTGAAGGTCTGAGGAGTGGAATCGCAGCAGTCTTTGCTGTTGCACGAATGGGCAGGTCCATCAGGGTGAGTACGTCGACCGCATAGAAAACCGGCGTGAATTGGAAGTGTTATACTTTTGCGTTTCGTCAATTGAGTGGGGTAGCCGGGGCCCACTTTATTATAACATGGAAACGCATCTGCAACCCTTTTTTTTTGGTATCGGGGGAAATCTTCAAAATATACCCTGTCTTCTTACATGACAGGATTATGTGGGGCTCTTACCCACTAAAACCCCCTCGGTAGCCGCCTCGGTAGCCACCTTCTGTACGCTTGGAGGGACCCCGGGATCTCCTTCGGAACGCACCGGTGTCCCTCGGTACTGTGCGTGCTGCCCCGGAGAAGGGTAAACTTCCCCAAATCCCTCGCCATCTTGCAGCAGCTCGAGGCCAATTCGAGCTGCTGCCAATCCGTGTATCCTTTTAGTCCCCTACGGTAATTGCAAATGTGAGCGGCGGCTATAACTTAACATCAGGTGAACTGCCCACACGCTTGCTACTTTCTCACTTTAAAAAAAAGTAGTATGAAAGTTTTGGCTATCCACAGGAAATTTATTTCATTTAATTACTTCTTATATAAATAACTATTACGCTATTTTTTTTTTTTTCACATTTTAAAATTGTGTCGGGAAAATGTTGTCTGAATTTTTCTTAATTACTCACTTTTGTAAGGTCCCTTGATCTATTGAACATTATTTGCGTGACTGCTCATAATTATTGACGAAAGATACGTTTGTTTGGATATTAGTAAGTCGGGCTTTATAAAGCAAATTGTCAGTTTTAGTAAAAGTTTCATTCAATTGTATTAGTCGGAAATTGATCGCTAATGTAGTTCGCTCGAGTTCTTGATCATTAACCTACATTATTCATTAAAAAGCAGTTGGTATCGATTTTATTTATTGTTAGAGGAATTTATAAGCTTCTTTACTGTATTATTAGTTCACACGCAAGGATGTTTTTAAATTTTTCACCGTGATAACATATTATTATTGTCAACTTGACATATAACTACGATGACTCTATAAAAAGATATGCAAAGGTGTCGAGTTGTATTTAAAAAAAAATGATTTGAAATTGGATAAGGGCAAGTCTTAGGTACAAAAACGGTTAGTAATATTTTTATGAGACACTAACGCTGACTTCGGTCGAATCTGTACCATGTAGCGAATCCCCGTGAATTTTTTGTTAAACCTGTAGAAATGTTTGTCACTTATCTATATGTAGAAACGGCACAAAGTAATATATAATTTAAATATAACTTGTTCGCTCTGTACGTGCGGCGGCTCGTAAATCTCGCGGCAAGGGGACTTTTGTTTGCAAAGTTTCTTTTTTATTTTTCCCTTTATCTGTGTAATGCAAAGGCCTGCGAATACTCAGGCGCAACTCGGAAACCCGCTTAACTTCAATAAATCAATTTGTTCACTTACGCTTACTTATACACTCGCAACGAACAGACTTCGGGACGTGAGCACGACTTTGAAATGAAAATGTAAAAAAAATAAATTCGACGTCACACACTAGCTCTCTAAAAGTCTTAATCCATTCCGGAGAGTTGGAGTGTTTTCTTGAAATCCTTTTTATTATTTTTTTGTATTTTTAAGTTCATTTCTATATACGGCCCTATAAACATCTCGTGGCCTTGTAGGTGCCGATTCGAAATTTGAAGCCTCACTTTTTAGTAAGAGTTAACCTTTTAAAAATTATAGGTTCATATTTGGCTTTGCCGAAGCAAATGTTTGTAAACAACAAAGGAAGTAGTCCTCAATTCGGTTATTATGTTTTTATTTTCGAAACCTCAGCAGTCCGTCATTTATGAACCAATTTTAGTTTGGCTTAACTAACATGTGGTCTCATATTAATTTGACTAATACTGGACCCTGAACTTCTGAGTAACATTAGGGAATACCTCAAAATCAAAAGAAAAATGTATATTATACTTCGATGTTGATTTTTGTTAATAAAATGTACTTGTTCATTGGCTACGCATATTATCAAACGTCACGAAAACTCGCAAACGGCATTAAGGCGGCAAAATCTTCAAAGTTGGAACCATCAGTCGTGTCGGCGTGTCCGATCCGCATCACAAAGTTAGATGCGCCCGTCGTTCTATTTTAAACGCGATAACGCCAACTTCGCAGTACTCCAAATGTGAATACCTTGTTGCGAAAATGTGACTAACGGAAACTGGACAAGTAACTCCGCTGTCCTTCCGGCGCACACATTCACCGCCGTTCCACGCTACTCGTACTCTCTCCAACTCCCTCTTACTTAGTGGACCGTCGAGCGCTTCCTATTCAAATTTTCTTACAGCAATTCTTTTCCAGTTTGTAATAACTTGTTACTAAAGTTAGTTCTGTACAACGTTTGGGTAAAACTGACATTTTTCAAGTACCTAATATCATCTTTCAATAAAGCTAAGTCAGATACCTAGGATACGCAAACCCTAAAGTATTTTCAATATATCTTAGAGCAGAACATGAATCCACATCAATTCCTGTTAATAGAAGCTTTGATAATCGATATAAATGTTTATAATATTTACCATAACCTTTAAGTATAATACAAATTCAAATCCTTAATTCTTTATTCACAAAGACGTTTGCGTGTTCTTATGAAATGTCGTAATTTTATATATAAATTAATACGCTCGTAAGTTACCACCGGTTCGGAAAGCAGTTTCTAATGAGAAGAAACCAACAGGAAAGAACTCAACAGTTGCTCTTTTTAAAAAGGTCAGTTTACATTATAATGGTACAGATATAATTGTCTGATTTTAGCCTACGTGAGTATCAAACATTTAGTAGGTATCTATTTTATAATATGTTGTAAATCCTTATTTACTGTACGACTCCGGCTTTATTTACTATTTGTTATATAAAATAAAAATAATGTACAAATATTTTACTATTGTTCTAAGTATACAAGTCACGCCTCTACTCTCTAGTGTGGTCTTAAGAAGTTAGAAGAACATACAAAAATAAGGAATACACAGAACTACCTACCAATTTAAAAAATTATTAGAAATTTAATGGACAGTCTTTTACGGATTTCATTTATCGCTCCGAGTATCAAATTATCTGCAGCTACAAGAAAAATGATGTTGAATGTTTTGCAAAGATTTGCGTCTAAACTTTGTGCAACACGAGTGTAATCGGCATACATTTAGCTTTGGGACTACCATTTGGCTTAATTGTCCACGAACCTATTACTCTCTTGAATCAACTTTTGGTTACATTTTTGAATTTATTATTTTAGGAATATGACATTAAAAATGGCACTTCATTAAAAAAGCCGCAGCCGACGTTAAAACGTTCAAAATGCGTCAAAGTTTACGGTATGTTTGACTTGTGAAACTAACTCCTGTTTATGTTAACATATCAAAAACGATTTATTACCTTAAAACATTACATTTATTGCAAATAAAAATGCACCGAGATACTCTGTTCCGAGTTTAAAGTTTTACGTTTAATTTGTATGAAAATGACCTCTCCTTTCTTTTGTGAATAATTTGATGTATGCTAAAATATGAATAGTTTGCACAGCTATGATGCAATTGCGCAACTTTTCTTGATTGATTTTATCAAGCAACAGAATAGACGTTGAGCTGCCATTCTTTATAGATACTTTAAATTGGAGATTTTTTTAGTTGCCGATTTAACTCAACATCATATTGACAAATTGAAATCAAAATTAGTTATAATGTGGCTATATATATTCGAATATAACTAAAATGGCTTGATATAAATACAATCAGTTCGCGCATAAATATTCTCTTGCAGTTAAGATATTAAAGAAGAGACAAACAATATTAGAAGGAAACAAATGAACCTCGACGGAAATTAATGAAGATTACAAAATTCACGGCCATTGAGTTGCGCGTTTCGGCGAACCTTTCTAAGTTGCTTGTTAGACTAAATTGAGAGAAATAATAGCGCCCATTTGTTAGGTTTAAACGTTCAAATTTCCCCCTCCGTGTAACAATCAAAACGATTTAGAAATTAATTGATGCACTCTATTAAATTTGAAACTCGGCACTTACTTTCTGCCCTTATGGTCCGTGTAGACTATATGGTTCCTCGCTGCAGGCGTTTGGCGCGAATGGCTCAAGGGTTGCGTGTCCATTGTAAAACTTTTTCAGCACATGCCGTCAGTTCGGCCGTCCTAAGTGCTACGTGTTGATATCCCCTTTCCGTTCACAACGTACACACTTGTACCTCGCTATATCCACTGCTGTGAACACTTTGAAACCGCTCGCTTAGTTTCTGGGCGTCTCGGGAAAATTATTCCTTAGCAGTTCGCTGTCCGACTGCGTTCAACAACTTTGAATGGCCGGCTTGTTCGGGTCGGTGTTCTCTCAACATCTTATATACAGTTCCGACTCCTTAGCTGCGAAAGTTTACCCGCTCAATTAATTACGCTTCTAAGCGCTGCTCGAAACACGTTTAACAATTGAAAAATAAACTAAAATCCTATGTACAAGAAGTAATTTTCATTGACATAAACGAAATTTTCGATGATTTGACATTTCATAAAACAGTACAAATTATACCAATGCCAAATTATTTTTATCTGTAAATAACGTAAAGTAATTTAGAGGGGTCGAATTTACTAACAGCATATCCTGACTTATACGTCGTCTGGTCAGCCAGGTTATATTTAAGTATTAAGAGTTATATTATATTATTATGGTAAGTACATAGATGAAGTATATTATTTACTGTCTGAGAGTAGGCGGAGCCATGGATAAGGCGGGCATATTGAAATCGACAAGGAGGTGGAGTATGGGTCGTAATTCAATAACAGCTTGTAAGGAATAATTCATAGCACATTAATACAAAATTGAAATATCAATTGCATTGAAATATTTAAATTTATTGAAGACTAAAATTCTACGTCAATCATTCAATTCGAGGAATTGTTTTACTCCATCGGAATTTTATGAAGGTGAAATGTTTTCTCATTTCATAAATTCAGTAATGTTAGACGGTGTATAAATGGGCTTTAATTAACTGTGGAATGCCGGCGAAACGGAAAATATTCCAGGATCGCCCGGTTTCCCGCGTAGCACTTCGGACGCGCTAGCTACGATTTACATTCTCCCCCAATTATTCGCCATAAAATAATCTAGGACATCCGTTTTCAATTTTAACTATAATATATTTAAATTTTCTATTATTCTTGTTTTGTTTCGTAAGTTCATTATAAAGGGGGTAATCCTTGCCCTAATAAACTATTATTACAATACTTACACATCTTAAGCCCACGATTATGTTTTCCAAAGTTAATGTATTGTGAATATTGGTAAAATACAACGGAAAACAAAAGTAAAGGCAAAAGTCAAGAATGTTTTTTAAATATCACCATAGAAATATTAATCTCATTTTTAACCCTTCTATATTTACTACGTAATAAGTTACGAACGCGATCTAGACGCGTAGCGAATATTAGGGTCACTCGCCACCGAAGCTCGCACCCGACTGAGCTGCATACCCTTTGCTCTACAATTATCCTGCAAAGTGTAGCGTTTCTGATGGAACATGCACCCTAAATAATAAGTCAGTAAGGTACAAATTGAATTAAATTTATACGAATAACATCCGTCGACTGCTACTAACGCTGTGTAGAGCATGTTACGAAAATCTAATTCTTCCTACGCGACCATAATGACGGCTTTGGAACTGGAGATGATTTTGGATCTGAAACTTTCTTCAGTTGATAATACTGTCGCCTGAAAAACTTTGTGTTAGAGAACAGAAGGTTCAATTTTCAGGTAATGTTTGCTGTAGGGAGGCGGTCGTAATGCTTAAGGGGTGGCGCGTAAAATACGCGCATGCGTCTGCCTCTTGAATTGTTCTTCAAAGTCTCAACTTCTGCAAAGATTAACAGATTAGCAGTAGATTTTTTAAAGTTTATTTTCTTGAACAAAATTTCTTAGAGACAAATATTAATGAAAGTTATAAATAAAACAAAGTTTGAAGAGGAAATATAAAGTTATGTACTGTACAACGATTTAGAAAATAGTTTTCCAGTTCGTCAAGGTCGGGAAAAACATAAAAAAAATTGAATTTGATAAGTTTTTTCTTCTTAATATTTATGAAATAGGGACAAATATTTAATTGTTCTTTCTTTTTTCATAAAAAATAGACATATACTTTTATAATTCTGTATTTAAAATCGTTTTGAAACATAAAGAAAATTGTTACGAAGTAATAGAAAAGTAGCAACAACTCCTATCATAAATTTGCTAAATATGCAAGCAGGTAATTGAATGTAAGTGAATGTTACACATTCAAATTAAGAATGATTGATACGGCCCCAGTCTCACATATTTCATTGTCTCACCGTATAATTTGTTAACAAATGAGATGAAGTGGTGAAATTTGTATTTGCTCGAGCACCCAGCCTCGGCCCAACCGCGGCGGGCGTTCCGCCACGATGTAGCTTTCAATATGAGCTTTGTTACCGCTTTGTGCCGCCATTTCTTGTGTCACTGCATTGAATATATCGGGTGCTTTCCTTTGTGCACGGAATATTGCTCGTCTTTTGTCGAAATGAACGTTACCTCGCCGCGAGTTGTTTCAGCGAAGAATTTCCCGATTGCAAAGTAATATTTTCCCCTTAAGAATTTCGATGTGTTCCTTTCATGTCGTAGATGACTTTACTTCGGATTATATTGTGGCGGGAAATGTTATTCAAAGTTTGATTTTCGATATCGCGCAATAGTCCACAAGATGGTTTCTTTTGATGTAAGAAAAAGTTGTTTTTATTTATTCTCCCTCGGGAAAATCCTCTGTTACAGTAATCGCATTGGATTTTGTCATTTCAAGTCCAATAGTCTTCTGACCACCAATTAGGTTTGGATTAACGGCGGTACGACTGGATAGTTTTATGTAACATGCACTCTTGAGATCGCTTGTTAATCTAAAATGGGTTTGCTTGTCTACACAATGTCTATGTGCGAGTGTTTTCTTCTGTATATTATTTATATTTAATTTTATAAAATTTAAACATTTTCATCATTATGATCATCATCAATATAGGCTTCCCCGTAAAAGGCATTGTACTAAGTTATTTTACTTTTATACAATACTCTTTTTAATCTAATATAATCATAACACATTGTACCATTTATTTATATTCAATTCTAAATTGCTGGAAATACTATTAGTTTGGAATACTAACATTTAATAGAGTATAAATAGCCATTAAAACTTTACTTTTCAATTTATGTACCTAAAGCAACTTCTTAAATATTTTTTCCAACTTTTTTTAAGAACAAAATGGCCATTAGTAAAAATTGATGAACGATTTTAGTTTGTTTTAGTGCAATTTTATTTATATATCCATTTAAAAAATCAAAAATCAAAAAATCAAAATCATTTATTCATCGAAATAAGAAATATATATTTCATTTATCGATAGTCATTTTTTAAATTTACCACCGTTTCGTAATGAGGTTCGTCTACCGGAGAAGAAACAGGCGAAAGAAACTCAGTAGGTGTCCTCTTTTTTGTCAATTTTTTTTCTTAAACAAATACATTTTTACACAGTACATATTTTTTTTAGATACAGCTTAGGAACAATCATCTCATTCCCAGGGGTTATTATCGCTAATGTATTCATCTATATTATAGTACCCCTTTTTAAAAGTTTTTCTTTAATAAATTTCTTAAACTTGTTAATAGATAGGCTTTGCATATTAACTGAGTTAAATTTATAATTATGAGTACCCATAACACACTCAGATATTATTTAGGCTGGTCGTATGCGGAACACGAAACTTCTTTACATTACAATAGTACACCGCTACTTGGACATACGACTACAAAGTTGGTAAGTAAACATTTATTGGTAACTTTTCAACATAAAATTCATATAACCCTTATCTATACTTACAACATAAGAATAACTTTATTTTTGATCTTCGACAAGAAATTTGCAAATAATTTAAATAGGAAACATTCGGGCTGTGTTTCGTCTCCACGTTAGCTAACATACCAAATTATGTCACTGTGTACATAAAAATAAAATCTGAAATTGTAAAATAAATTGAATTACTCCATCTTGCTTGTTCTACATGTTCGTGTGTCCCAGTGCAGCGCTAAACCAACTGCTAATTAACACCGGATTACCCAACAGAAACGTCCACGGCCATTTAATGTTTACAACAGGATTCAAAGATAGAGCAAATAATGTGCAAACCAATGCTTTTCGTTAACTAAGAAGCAAGAATTGTCTTAAATTATACAATGTTGTGGATTATTCTACAGAAAGCAATTTTTAGAATACGATAATTAAAGATTAGAAATTTTAAAGTCATACATTATTTTTTAACATTTTTAACCCTACTATTTTGTTGTAAAATTTGTACCAAGCCGTTAACCGATTCGGTATAACCTCATATGCTGACCAACCTTTACAGGGGCTATGCTGCCCTTTGATTTTGCAATCATTAATCAATATTATATTAAAAGCAGGGACAAATAACTTGACATTTTACATGATCGGATCATTGTTGTTATTGATATAGTAGCTAGGTATTTTTTTAGGGTGGCATCCCTTACTACTACTCGACTTAGTACTACTCGAAAGTATCTAAATACACTCGAAGTAAATTTTACAGTGAAATATAACAATATTACAAATATCACGTAGAGTCGATTTAGTATTGTAACCACGTATACTTTGACCGCGTACACATTCGGTAGTAATAATTCATAGTTTAAAATTATTCCAACACCTTTGAACCTACCCTCCAGCTTAATGCTGTGACGCAGTGATTCTATTTGAGTATTCAGGGAGCACAGTCGGCTGGCCGCAAATAACAGAAAGAGCAAGTCCTCAGGGCATCACTTGAGCTTTTCAATTTCCCTTTCGGAATTATTCGTGCTAATCGAATACGACCACCGAGGTCTGGGGGCGCGATCCCTATGATTCATTCATGAGGCTAACCTTACAGTTGAAGTCAGAATGTTTGTAAATTAATATGGCTTATTTACTTACCGGATACGTTGATTTTCATCAGGGTTGTGCGAAAGTCCCTGCAATTGTATTCTTCACTCGACATATAAAAAATATTTTATGCTTATTTTATGTATTGAAAATTTGTTTGCAGTTATTGT